AGCTCCGGGAGGCCTGTGGCTGGATCCTGCAGGATCCTGAGTTCCCTCAACTCCCACTGGCTGCACTGGACACTGAGTGTGCTCAGCTCTCTGAACTATGCAGGATTGGGCTTTAGCATGTCTGAGAAAGAGTCTGAGCATTGTCAACAGGCAGCTATTGTGGAGCAGGTAAAAACGAGGCTTTTATAACTGCCATGAAATTCCGATGGCAACAGTGCTTGTTTGCCAGAGCAGGTCCCTAACCCTGCTTGGTTTTATTTTCCTTAGATAGGAAATTTAAAGCTTCCCCCCCCCCCCATTTACATCCACTTCTCTCCTCAATAGCTGCACATTCTGAACCTATAGACAATGGCCATGTTCTTGAATGCACTGGCAGAACAATGCACTTTTCATCCACCCAGCCATTCACGTAGCTTCCAAATACTCTCCTGGCTGATGGGCAGGGCTGGATTTACACCTTACACGCCCCAGGCACAGAATCTTCAGTGCCACCCTTGCCCGCCCGCCTACAGCTGACCTTCGTGTTGCACACAGTTTTAGAGAGGCAAGGTGCCCCTGTAATGCCGGCGCCCCTAGGCACGTGCCTACTGTGCCTAATTGGAAATCCGGCCCTGCTGATGGGATGCGAATGAATCAGCACATAAGAGGTGTGCGTGTGTGCACGCACATGAGGGGGGCGGCGTAATGGTTTTTAGAGTAATAGTAAATAACATTACAGCAGGAACAAAGGAGAGACTTAAATATTGCTCATCCCCTATATAATCAACAGCAAACCTGAAGTTCAATGGAAGATCAGCAAATAGATCCTGATCAAAAACTCCTGGCGTAGTCAAGGAAACCCCCTGACGTCAGTGGAGAACTGTACAGAGCCAGCACTAGGCTGGGCTGACTTGGGGCGTTGGTGGTGTCTAGGCCATGTGGGAGGTAATTGTTGCTAGGCCTTAGGCGGGGTGAATTCCATCCAGTCCCGACTCAGCCAAGCAGTGCCACTGAAGTCAACGGGATCTCTAGTGTGAGTCAGGACTAAGGTGCTTCAACAAGGGTTTGCAGGAGACATTTAGGAAGAACAGAGCATATTAGAGCATTCAGGAAGTGGCAGTGATTTATTATAAATTATTATTGCTTAGGAAAGGGTTAGAAACACTTATTAGAATACAACAGCAAAAAAAAAATGCCACTAATTAAAACGTGACTGGTTTTCATCCCGATCAAACGCAGCATTGATCACGTAGCTGTAGTCTGGCACGTGAGAGTTCTGGTCCAGCGCATCCCTTGATTGGGTCAAAGACGAATTCCTCCTTCTGGGGAATTCCGGTGACTTTTTCCTGTTCATTCTGTAAAGAAAAGTTAACGAGAAGTAAAGAGCTGCACTCCTCGTCTCACTGGCGGTGCAATAGAGATCAGACATGGCTTAAAATGGTGCCTTGAATACTCTGGCCCACTCCTGGCTGTTCTGGGTTTGAGGCATGATGTAAGTAGTGTGACTGCTCTGAGAGCTGACACAGCCTGAAATGGGGGATATGCCCCTCGGCCCTGCTGAGCTGCAGCACGTACCTTAACTTGGATCTGCACACAACCAGGGAGACGATCGCAGCGAGGACGATGATTCCTGCTGAAACTCCCACAATGATGTAGACCAGAGAGTTGTCAGGTTTCCTTGGCTCGTCTGAGTGAGAAATAGGAGCCCGATTTAGTACACAGGAGATGAGTGCAAGGAAAAAGTGCTGGAAATTCCATCTCAGCTCCATGATCCAAACAGCAAATGTGTCTGTCTGACTGACGGACATTGTGCAGATGGGCTTCTGGAATGCAAGCCTGGGACAGATCCATGCCCACTGCCACCCAGCACTGGGCTGGACCATCTCTCCAGCAAGCTACCGGAGCTAACAGCTGTTCCTCATTTGGAGATCTAACTCCCTTCCCTCCAAACAGAGCACCCAGGTGTGCGCCATGGTAATCTGGCACACACCCCTTCTGCAGCCACCAGGGCAGAGCGCTGCATAACCCAATGCAGCCGCACAGGTACCTGGGTGTGATGTGAACTGCTCCCCGGCAGGGAGAGTCGGAGCCCCATCACTGTGATGCCACCCAGAAGCAGGTGTGCCAAGGCCTCTCCTAAACCCAGCAGGGTGTGGCGCTGCAAGCCCAGCTAATGGCGAGAAGCCGTTCTACTAAGCAGCCATTCGGATAGAAATTTCTTTGGATAGAAAGCTGGCTAGATCGTCGGGCTCAACGGGTAGTGATCAACGGCTCCATGTCTAGTTGGCAGCCGGTTTCAAGCGGAGTGCCCCAAGGGGTCGGTCCTGGGGCCGGTTTTGTTCAATATCTTCATTAATGATCTGGAGGATGGCGTGGACTGCACCCTCAGCAAGTTTGCAGATGACTCTAAACTGGGAGGAGTGGTAGATACGCTGGAGGGTAGGGATAGGATACAGAGGGACCTAGACAAATTAGAGGATTGGGCCAAAAGAAACCTGATGAGGTTCAACAAGGACAAGTGCAGAGTCCTGCTCTTAGGACGGAAGAATCCCATGCACTGCTAAAGACTAGGGACCGAATGGCTAGGCAGCAGTTCTGCAGAAAAGGACCTAGGGGTTACAGTGGACGAGAAGATGGATATGAGTCAACAGTGTGCCCTTGTTGCCAAGAAGGCTAACGGCATTTTGGGTTGTATAAGTAGGGGCATTGCCAGCAGATCGAGGGACGTGATCGTTCCCCTCTATTCGACATTGGTGAGGCCTCATCTGGAGTACTGTGTCCAGTTTTGGGCAACAAAAATGATTAGGGGGCTGGAGCACATGACTTACGAGGAGAGGCTGAGGGAACTGGGATTGTTTAGTCTGCAGAAGAGAAGAATGAGGGGGGATTTGATAGCTGCTTTCAACTACCTGAAGGGGGGTTCCAAAGAGGATGGATCTAGACTGTTCTCAGTGGTACCTGATGACAGAACAAGGAGTAATGGTCTCAAGTTGCAGTTGTGGAGGTTTAGGTTGGATATTAGGAAAAACTTTTTCACTAGGAGGGTGGTGAAGCACTGGAATGGGTTACCTAGGGAGGTGGTGGAATCTCCTTCCTTAGAGGTTTTTAAGGTCAGGCTTGACAAAGCCCTGGCTGGGATGATTTAGTTGGGAATTGGTCCTGCTTTGAACAGGGGTTTGGACTAGATGACCTCCTGAGGTCTCTTCCAACCCTGATATTCTATGATTCTATGAACGCCTCCACCAAGCACTGCAGAGCATGCGTCCTGCTCCACGCAATGGCAGACCTCCCATTGACCTCAAGGGGACCATGACGCGGGCCTGATCCTGCAGGCCCTTACACACTGGAGTACCCTAAAGGGCTTCAGTGGGACTACTCACATGAGCAAGGGTTTGCAGGATTGGGCCCTTAGCCCGGTGTGGTTAAATCTAGTGCCCTAAAACATGTGGCCTCACTCCACTGGCCTCACTCCACTGACTTCAGCAGAGCAACTCCTGATTTGCATAAGTGTAACTGAGAGCAGAATCAGGTTCCATATGTCCTGGTCACATGGCCTTTCTGTGACCTTTGGGCCACACTGTTCACACTCAGCACACAAGATTTTTGGTGCTGGAACACTTCACTTTTCCAATGACATTCTAAATAGCTTTTTTACCCTGTGTTTCAGCCTCACAGAGAGGCCCCTCGTATCCGTCAGGGCACACACAACTGAAGTTGGAAGAGCTGTTGCTGGATTCGCTTGTATCCTCAATACAAGTCCCACCATTCTCGCAAAGATTCTGCAGACACGGGCCAGCTAGAGAAGTGAGAGAGAAACAGGTCAGCATCTCAGAATTGCCTACCCCAGTGACGCGTTCTGCTGTAGGTTCCCGTAACCAGCCATACTGGACCAGCCCTGTATTTTTAGGGCACTTCCCTTTGGGGCCTGCCATCCCATATCAGCTCAATTCAGGATGCTATGCACCAGGCACAATGGTTTTTCTGTACAAGGCTGGTGCCACTGTCCCCACACAGCGAGACAAGGTCGGGGAGGGGATAGCTTTTATTGGACCAGCTTCTGTTGGTGAGAGAGACAAGCTTTGGGCCACACAGAGCTCTTCCTCAGGTCTTCTTCCCGCATATGACCTCACCCACCTTGTCTCTCTACTATCCTGGGACCAACACAGCTACAAGAACCCCACACAGCGACACATTTCACTGGTGGACGAACACTCAGCAAAGACTTCACAGCACCAGAGACCAAGCGACGCGGTTAGTAATTGACTCACGTATGTAGCATCCGCGAGTGAAGTTAGCGACGGCGCAGATCTCGCTGCGTGCACACGCTGCCCTGGTGCAGGCAACGCTGGAACTTGTTGTGCACTCACAAGTCTGAGAGCAGTCGTCAGTCACAAACGTTTCTCCAGCCTGGAAGAGAACAGCTACGGATTAAAGGCATCTAATCAAATCAGCCAGAACAATATGAAGGATGCATTCGGGACCCAATCCTGTTCCCACTAAGTCTATACCAAATGTCCTGTTCGCTTCAGTAGGAGCAGGAGTGGGCCCTGTGCAGTTGGGTAAGGTACGTACAGAAAGCAAACCAGCAGTCTAGGAACCCCAGTAGCCTGAGAGCCCTAGACCTACTCCTAAGGACCCAAGGAGAGCCCAAGGAAAAAGGTCACCCAAGGGTTTGAGATTGAGTGATGGATCCTCATCCCAGCTCAGCGCCCTGTGCAGCCAGGCAACGTCCAATTAGAGCTTGGGATCAGAGATAGCAGCCGCCGCAGCCGCTGCACTCCTATCCCGGGGGTTTATGGCCTGTAGCCCTGTGCCACGCCTCTGGCAAACACCCGGCGTGGTCCTGTGACCTGCACAGAGAGCTGTCTTGAATAGTGATCTGTTCCGGCTTAGTCCTTCTGCACATCAGAGCTACAGCATTTAAACAGAAAGCTACGAAGCAGCTTCCAGGAGGTCTGAGCCTGCCACAGAACTAGAGGGTGTGCTCCAGTTCGCAGGGTCAGGCCCTATTTGCAGGGTCTAGTTCTGCAAGATTTTGAGCACATCCCATGTCAGCGCCACCTCACAGGATCGGGCCCACAGCGAGGGTACTAATCCGGACTTTCGTAACTGGTTCTTTACATCTCTGGAACCCCAGGGTGTAATCTTACCCTTGGATTCCCATGTGTAATTATTCAGAGCAACGATGGGGCAGAACGAACATGGACTTCACAAGGCAAGCACACAGGATCCCAAAGGGTGCGCTCTCACTGCACTACTCTGCATGCTTCCCACAGACAGCACTTGCAGTTCCCTTCCTTTGCCTTCCCTCTCTCAAGGGCCCAGAATGTCAGGGCCTGAACTGCTGGTGCTGCTAGCCGAGAGCAGCATGCTGACGGGAATGGGAAGGAATGGAAATCACTAATGGGCTTGACGCAGGTGCTGATCACCCCTGGCGTTCCTCAGGCATTTCCTACCGTACCTTATAATATGTGTTGAGGAAGCTGCAGCCACACTCCTTGTAGGGCACGCAGTCATAGCCACTGAGAACGTATCCAGGGAGGCATTCGCAGCCTTCGACACAGGGCGACTCGCACTCGGAGGAGGCTGCCAGGTTGCTGCAGGAATCAGGGCATGCAGTCATGCAGCTGCTGTACTTGCTGTTTGGGGGACACTGCATCTCTGCAAGAAAAATCAGGAGAGTCAAATTATACCAGGGCGCTATTAGCACATGGGGACATACACTGAGTCTCGTGAAAATCCCCACTGTGCTTTCAGCTGGAGAAGGCGTCCTTCCTCCTCAGTCCTGAACCACTGCTATGTGTTATTTATATATTGCCTTTCCCACCCCAGAGGTGGCTGCATTTCAGGGGTAGGTGAAATGGTCCATATATGTTTTAGAAGAAACAGCAAACCCTGATTTCTGGGTCCTATAAGGGGCTCTTCTATTCTCACCACAAGGCGTCTGGGCTCTCCAGTTTCCCAACGCGATCCCGTTCTCCTGACAGGCCAGCGCGTACTGCTCCAGGTGCCGACACAGCACAGCGCTGTTCTCGGCTTCCACACACAGGTCAAAGACACAGCCCCTGTGTGCGACATGAGAAAGCATTCATGCCAAATACAGTCGTTACTGCTTTCCCCTCCATTCCACATGGGGCCCTGCAAACAATGCCCTGGGCACGGCTGAGAGAGGAAACAATGGTGGAGCCTTGGGAAGATGAGGTCATTTGTTCTACAGCGGCTGCTGCTAACATGCAACATATGCACATGCACCCATGCAAAAAACAGGGACATGAGTATTTCAGAGTAGGGTCATTCCTTCGGCCTCTGTTCCTGTTTGGTGACAGAGCTGTTTCAGATTGTTAATGGGAGATGAAGGATTGCCTAGTGCAGCTATGTCTGTGAGTACACACCCCTACACACACTCAGGGCAGGTCTAAACGCTGCACTGGCGCAGTGAATATGCGACTATCCCGTCGGGACAGGAGAGCGTCTCCCTTCAGCGTAGTTAATCCACCTCCGGGACAGGCGGTAGCGATGTCAACTTGAGACGCTCTCCCGTCAATATCGCGCTGTCTACATAGGGGTTAGGTGGGTATAGCGACGTTGCTTGGGGTGTGGATTTTTCACTCCCCAGCGATGTAGTTGTACTGATCTAAGTTTATAGTGTAGACCTGACCTCATACCACCCCCCAGACCTGTCCCATATGCACACTCACCATTAACATTCATCCAGAGGTCTAGTTTATTGATTATCTGATGGTCAGAAATTGTGACCCTGTCACCTGACCTCATAATCTTGAACATTGGCCTGAGTTTCGGAGTTGTCTAATGCCTGTAATTTCCTCTGACTTCAGTGTGTCTGTGGGGGAGGGCAGGTGCTAAGCACCTCTAAAAATCAGGCCCTGACTGAGAACACAGAGCAGCCCATCCAGGGAAGTTCAGAGGTGACAAGTGAGGAGTTTCATTATTCGTTGGCAAATGAATAGGGGGGCCTGACTCCTTTGAACTATGGCCCCTTCACACCACTCTGGCAGCATAAAGGGGCCCTACAGTGGGTGTTAACTGTGTTTGCACATCCGGTGTGTGCAGTGTGGTGGTAGATGTGGGTCCCATGACATTTACACGCTGACAGAAGGATCCCACTGCAGGAGACTTGGCAGGCCTGTGTCCGTACCTGTGATGGGATGAATCAATGGGGTCCCCAGAGGTTTCAAGTGAGTTACCTGCAAACTGCAGGATGCTAGCGGAGGCCCAAAACATAACCAAGGAAGTTCTCATTGTAGCCAACAGGGCAAATGACTATGCTCTTTGGGAGACGCCTGTGTGGTGCAGTCAAGAAGTGGCACTGACAGTTTCAGCCTTTTTGGCCGGAGCATAAAGGCTGCATTTTACAAGTCACTAAACATTACAGCTGGAATTTCCAAAGGGGCCTATGGGAGTTAGACACCCGAATCTCACGGAATTTTAATGGGAGTTGGATTCCTAAATTCCTTTGGCTCCTTTGAAAAGTCCATCTTGTATGCCGTGTAGCTGTAGCCGTATTGGGCCCAGGATAGTAGAGAGACAAGGTGGGTGAGGCAGTCTCTTGTACTGGCCCAATGTCTGTTAGTGAGAAAGACAAGCTCTTGAGCCACACAGAGCTGAAGAAGAAGTGTCTGGCTCGGAAGCTTGTCTCTCTCACCAAATACGTTGGTCCAATACAAAATATTCCCTGCCCCACCTTGTCTCTCCGAAATCCAGCTTGCAAGTGGAAGGGTTACCAGTGCAGACATGTCTGTGCAAGAAAAGGGGAAAGCTCCCTTTCAGAGTTAGCTACAGTGCAAATTCCTCAACCGACAGACCCACAAACACACCCTTTAAAAATGCTGAAGCAGAATCTTAGCTCTTGTTAATGCAAAACTTGGGCCTGATCCTCCAAGATCCAGAGTCCCCCTCAATTTCCAAGGAATACACTGGCAGCACTTCCCAGGATCGGGCCCTGGAATCTCTCTGAACACATACGGCGAGAATACCTGGAGAACAGCGTGTGTCTCTCGAAGGTACTCACATCTGGAAGAACTCGACGGAGACATTGGACTGACACTTTCCAAAGGGACCTTTGGGATCGGTAAGAATCCCACACTTAGAAGTGGAGTTCACAAGGCTCAGCTCACTGGGATTGCAGCCTCTGGCGAGCCCTGTGTTTAACTCGACGTTGTCAAGCTCCTCGTCTGAAGTGACTTCTCGCCTGCAATGAAGAACAGATTGGCTGAGCCTCCGTTTTCTCGGGATATCCAGCATTCACCTGAATACGCTCTTGGTAGCACAGGGAGCTGGTGCAGCGCCATGGGCAGGTCTAAGTTTAAGCAGGTAAAGCTAGGATCCTGGCACCTACGTTGAAGGAGATGGATGAACACAACATCAGAGGAGTATCAGAGCGCCCCCCAGGATCGCACAGATTCCTGGATTTTAAAGTCAGAAGGGACCGTTACGACCATGTAGTTAGACGTGCTGCTTACAACAGGCCAGAGATTTCACCCAGCGATTCCTGCCTCCAGCCCACTAGATGCCTCTCAAGTGGTGGCCACAATGACACAGCTGAACTAGGACAACTGTACCTCAAAAGTACCATCACTTTTCAATGCCAAGGGTGCTCATGGACCATTGCCAGGTGCTCGAAGGCCAACCTGACTCTGTGTATCTGACTCCTGGGACACATTTGGGTCACCCCTGGCCTATATATTGTTTGCTTATGTTCTACCAGACAGCCTGCTGCAACCAGCAATGCTCTAACTCATTCCATCTGCTCTTTGACTATCAGGGGAAAAAATCCTCTGGGTCAGGGACTTAACGGTGGGTCAGCACCATTCACGTGGCTGGGAAGGGAGCCTAGCTAGGGACGCGAGGAAGTGCAATGAATCGACACAATCTCCACAGCAGCCTTCTTTGGCAGGGATCACGGCAGTCCCTGGCAGAATCCCAGAGGGAGGGCAGATGCTGGCAATGGTGCCTGCCCTCCCTTGGGTCATCCCGCCCAACAGGCAGGGAGGAGTAACTGACACCTTCCTGCAGAAAGGCCCGAGAGTCCAGTTGGACACAGGGTCTGAGTAACCTCTCTATCCCTCTGGGTTTAGGGGTTGACTCCTTGGAAGCCAATGGCATGAAACTGGACCAATGCAGTCATGCCTCAGGCCCATGCTCTCCACACCCAAGGGCGCTGTCACTTCCTCACCTTAGCAGTGCACAGGACAAATACGTAAGTGGACCCAGAGAGGGAGAAGAAAGATCAGAGATGCACTACGCAGTGCATTACCTCCTGGAACATTAGCTAGGGTTTAATGAACTACCTTTCAGGAGCCAAGTCTGGTCTGTATTTATGTAGGGCCAGTACCTGCGCCGGGAGACTGTTCTTCTGACGGGGACTTTCCAGCTCTCCCCAAACACATCCACGTCCCTCACTCGAGTGCCATCCGGCTTGGTAAAGTCGTTTTTATACTTCCCATCAAAGTTGCCGCACAAGCCTTCGACTTTGTTCTTGTAGGTGTTGGCCAGGGTTATATCTAATGGGGGCCAGAAGGAAAAGCGGATAGAAAGAAACCTGTAGCCACAAGTGCACAGGGGATATGGAATGGAATAGCAGGCAGCCATTCCATAGGCTGATAATGTGGCAGGTGTCCTGTCATGGGAGACAGACCTGCATTCACAACTCCTGCGGGGCTTGGCCCACTTATACGAGCTACATAAAGGAAATCACTGCTCATTGATAGTAATTATGTTTATTTATAGGACACCTTTGCCCAAGGGCTGCTACACAGCCCACATACTTGTGCGCACATCTCATTTTCTCCCGCACACACCCTACAGACTGACGTATACCCTCGACTCACCTCTCCGATACAGTCTACACTGCAATAAAAGACCTGCAGCACAGCCGCGGCTTGCCCAGGTCAGCTGACTCAGGCTCTGAAGCTCGGTGCCATGGGTTTTTATTGCAGTGTAGATGTAACCTAAGGGATCTCCCGCCCTGCAAGGTGAATTCTATTGAATATCATTGAGTTCCTGGAAAACACACCTTCCTTTCCTGCAGGACAGCTGGGATTTTAAGGCTTTGGGACTATGATTATGTGACACACACTCCCCGAACGCCTCACTCAAATAATATGGCCTGATTCTGCTCTCCCTTACGCCTGCTGCAAATCAGTAGTAAAGACGTTCAAGTCAATGGAGTTATATTCCTGTAAAATGGGTGTAAGGGAGAAGGGCCTCGAGAACAATTAAGGGGAACCTGCTGAGAAGGGGAGGGGTAGTGAGGGACCCACACTGCAGTCCTGTGGCTTGGGGCAGAGCACCAAAACTTCACTGGCGTTTTGGAAAATCAGCAAGGGGGCAGGTCCAACCTTTGTCCCATTGCTCTAATGAGCAAACTAGGGTGAGTTTGCTTTTGCTAAACTTTCTCAGTCAGGTTTCGGTTTTGAATAAACAAAACTAGGAACAATCTGGATCCAGGTCCCATTCTACCCAAACCAATGATGTTCTGGGGGATCCAGACAGAAGGTGCCAGTTTTGCTGTCTCCCTAGTTCCTGGGAAATAATTTGTCACCGGTTATCTGGGATTTCATATTACAGAGAAGAATCATGCAGTTAGACCATGCAAGTTCACAATTCCCCTTGGGATTGAAATCTCCTATAGGACATAGCATTCAACGCATTCTACAGTGAGTTCTCTTGGTCCTTCTTACCTAAGTTTTCAGCACCATCATAGCTGAGCGATAAGCCAAAATCTGTCTCCATGTAAATTCTCGTTGGTCTCTGGTATATGCGAAGACCTTCATGAGGCTGGGCAGGGGGGATGGTTTTCACTCCATCCAGCTAACAGAGACAGAATTATTTATAACTCAGTGGACAGATCGAATTCAGACCCGCTCCCAGCGGAGGTGTGTAACACCCAGCTAACCTTTCCTGGTTTCAGGTTTTGTAATGAAATTTTCAGACAGCGAGAACCATAAACAACCGATGTTCGTCTCCTCACTGTAGCTAAATGCTCTATGGAAAGAAGCTGGATTGAGCTGAATTTCAGTATTTTCACACCACTCTGGGAGCCCTCTAGTTTTTGGCTAGAAAAGACGTTGACTTATATTTACATGAGCAATATGTGTACTCGTACAGGATGATGATAACGTGAGGAAGGCAATATAAGGATTACAGCCTCATTTATGTGTTTTCTCTCCCTCACTAGTGACACCAGATCTCGCGGTGTTATTGTGAATCTCACGATATTTGGTGTTGCTCTCGAAGCCCAAGCTCCAGGGGGCAGGTAAGCACACAGGAACCTCAGCTTTTAGTAACAAATACAGACGTACATGTGCATCCCCTGGAGAAAAGCTTGAAAACGTGACCCCTAAATCTTAAAAACCAGCAGGCAAAGCAAAATAACCCCAAATTTAGTATTTTTTCAAACTACCCTGATTTTTAAGCCAATCATGTGATTTCTGGGGCCTGATCCCTGATTTCTGCACACTCGAGGTTAGCCGTCCTGCCGCTATTCTCCTCTCTCCTGCGCCATTAGTGATTCCATGCTGGGAAGGCACATCACGCTGTGCCAGGCAGAAATGCGATCCATGGTTGGGAATAGCTGACTTGTTGGGTTCAGAGGGCAGTGTTGTTTATTGACCTGCCTGAGCGAGACTGGGAGCCAGGAACTCAGGGATTTTAAACCCAGCTCTGACACTGATCTCGTCAGCAGGTCCCTTGGCTTCTCAGTGCCTCAGTTTCCCCATCTGTAAAGTGGGGACCGTTATCCATACTTACCTACCTCACAAGGCAGCTGTGAGAGATACTTGCTTAATCTTTGCAAAGTATGATGCGAAGCTGAGACGCTGAGAAGCGTTGGGTGCTAGTTAGTTTGCAGAAAAGGCTCGAATGCAGTGGTGCGTATTCTGTGAAATGCCTATTTAAATACAGCCCCGCATCCACACTCAGACATTGTTCCTGAGGCCAACCTCAGACTTCACTCTGAGCAAACACGAGACAGAGATTCCAGTGGTTGTGCTTAAAGTCCATTTTGGGACCAGACAGCAGCATGTATGTTCTTCATAGGCCCATTCAGAGACCACAGACATTCTGCTGCAGTCTAGAAACCCTGAGTGGCATGGTCAGCACACCTTATAAATGGTCACGAATCCCTGTTGATCACTCCACATTTTTTGATGTTACAGGAAAAACAAATGAGCGCTAGGAGTGTGCAGCTTAATGCACTTCTTACCACAAGCTGCTTCTTCTGCCTGAACCACACCGTGTGATTGTAAACGCTGACACGGATCTCCTGGAGGAAAGAAATGTGGGACACTCGAGGGTAAAGCTTGTTCTTTCCCTCAATGCTGAAGGATGGCAGGCGGTCGGGGATGCTGGAGACAGTCTGAGACAGCATGTATGTATTTTTGCCTTGGAAGTGATGCATCAACCCATCAAACGTCAGGTAGTGTGGATCTCCAATGACGAGGCACTTCCCAAAGCCTAATAGAGAACAGTCACATTAGCCTCCAAGGTGTATGCAGAGGCCAGTCGAACAGGGCTGAGTCTGTGCTGAGACGCAGTTTAATACAGGGCTGGTGAGTTCTGACATGCTTTCCTGTGAAAGCTACGATAGGTGCTCAGATACCACAGGACGGACACACAGACCGGCAGGCAGATGGTGAAACTCATCCCTGTGCCGAGAGCCAATGGAAGTGCTCTGGGCTGAAGCAAGGTTTGAGTGGTTCACAGCCCTTGGGAGATGTGCATGGCACATACAGGTCCTCTGCAGAGGGGTGAGTCTCACCGGGACAATGCAGGGGGCTTAAAGTGGCCTCTAAGAAGTGCCAGTTCGGTCATTGCCCAACAGTGGAATTTCAATAAGTTGTAACACAATGTTGGGGCCTTTACAGCTTGTGTCTATGTTTGAAATGACACTTCGTCCAGCTCTGACCCACCTCTCACCTACCTCTGAGGTCTTTGTATTTATTACTGTGTTTGCGAGACCTTGCAACCAGCTTTTAATGCATTGGATAAAAGTAATAAAGGGGTAGGATGCAGCTGAGTGCGCAAAGGAGAAGGACGGGTGCAAGAAGGCTTCTCCCCTCCTCAATCCGCCCATGCAGGGGCCAGCCACAATCCAAATCCCAATTCTCTCTTAAGTGCAGGCGCTGCTTCATTCTGGTGCCACAGGAGTGCTAGCACTGCTCAAATGGGGAAGGGAGGAGGCTGGAGTTTTATCATCCCTCCGCACTGGCCAGCTACACTGCAGAAAATCTGCCACCCTGCTCTGCAAATCACAGCTGGGGAATCGTTTACTTGGCAATGAAATACAAGAGCATCTCTAGCAGACCTGGTCAGACACCTGAAAAGCTGATTAATCAAATCAATTATTTGATGAGAAACAGCTCAGTCCCTCAACAGCCACATTCAACAGGTAACATTTGTCCAGCTCTGATCCCTGGTGACAATTTTTTTCTCTTCTTTCATTGTTGTTCTCAAGCTAGCCATGCACTGGAGGACAATGGAGTAATTGCCAATGGATTCATAGGCACTAGTCTTTCCTTCTTTTTAAACTTCATTCTCCGCTGTCATCTGAATTTGACCTTTGGCAGAGATAATATAGGAATTCGTTGCCTTTTGCTTCTTTGTTAGCAACCAAATATCAGGTTCGTTTCTATTTAAAAAATACATCTCAATCTGTTGTTCCATTTTCCTCCACAAATGCGGTGTCTGTTAGGAGAACACATCACTCAGGGAGCAGAGACCTTGCCATGTTCTCCTATCAGCACTATACTATCATTCAAACAGGACTGAAATGGAATTGTACTTATTGCAAATGCAAATGTGGACCTGATTCTTTACCCCTGGCACCATCACATCAAGAGGGGCAAAGTCAGTGGAACTTCCCACCATGCTCGTCTGTGAGTGTTTTAGGCCCACTTTGCCCCAGCTTTCTGCAGGTGAAAATGACAACACAAGGAGCAAGGCCATGCGGGATCAGGGCCCTTGTGTTCTGTTATGTTTGGAAAATGATAAGTGAATTTTCTGTTACAAACGCACTGGGGGCCAATTCTTGTTTACACTAAGACCCCTTTGCACCGCAGTGGCAGTGTCGAGGGGCCTTAGAGTGGCCATACGTTACTGTTACCTCTGCTTCTAAGGCTCCCTTGCATTGGTAAATGGCCCTCCCTTGTGAAACCAGCAATGGCTGCCTCCTGCTTGGATACACTGGAGGGTGGAATGGACTCTTGGTGCCCACCCCCACCCCCACACCTACCAGGCCTAGACGCACATACCTGTCGGTTTACATTTGTATATCCCCTTGTTGTTGAGGAAACAGATCTCCCAAGCATCGCAGCCATAGGGCTGGCACTTGATGGTATTGTCCTTCTGACACTTGCATTTGTGGGTGCAGTGGGGTCTTATCCAGCTCTCCCCAGCCTGTGGGAATGCACACTGTGTTAATGATACATGACATTGCTCTTCTTCAGGTGTGCAATACAAGGGCAGCAGCGCAGGAAGTGAACTGTAATCTACTGTTCAGGCCATTCCTTGGCTGCCGAGCCCATGTGGGGATACCAGACTCCACTGGCTGCGTTAGGGCCACAGAGAAAGCTTGAGAGCTTAGCTTGTGCCCTGACAAACAAATACAACATTACCTTTGGATTCACTGCAACAGCCTCTTGTCTTTTCTCTATCCTGCTACAACACTACAGTGACAACTAAGCTGAAGACTTGCTGGTCTTATTGCCTTTTGTGTGCTAATTTAGACATAAAACAGGACAGGGACAAACATCCAGAGTGACCTTTGGCAAATCACCAGCAGCCACATTTTCAAAAGGGGCCACTGATTCTTGGGCCTCAGTTTTGGAGGCCCCACCTAAGATACTGCCTTAGTGTGGGGGATGGACTCGATGACCACTGGAGGTCCCACCCAGCCCTACGTTGCGACGATTCTATGATCCCTTGGTTCTGATTTGCCAAAGCTCTGAGCACCTGCAGCTTCCACTGGCTTCATCTGGAGCGATGGGTGCTCAGAAGCTCTGCAAATCAAATCCAAGGTGTCTCCGTTTAGTCACTGAAGATTTATTTCTATTTGACCCACCAGGGCAGCAGGCAGAAGCTCCAGCAGCTGTTTACAGCTGTTAAAGCCGATAATCACCTGGTACAGAAACTACTTACGCTGTAGTAGTTATCTTCATCATCTCTGCAGCCACACTCGCTCAGTGGTACACACTGGTCATCGCTAAGCACGTAACCCTCATTGCAAACACAACCTTCTGTGCATTCGGTTGGCTTTTCACAGAGGGAGGACGCATAAATATTATTACATGTGGCTGGGCAGGGAGATGCACAGTCGGTGTAATAGCTGTTGGATGGACAAGGCAATGCTGTGTGAAGAGAATAAAAACAGCGTTATTACAATGTGCAAGAGAACTTTTCGATGTTCCAAAGCAGACACGCCTGGTGCTGACTGGAAGGACTTGGATGGCAACAGAGCAGTAAAGGTTACTTCTTCAGGATGTGATGGTGATGGCATAGTTATGGATTCATGTATTGTTAAAAACAGGTAAGCCTCTCAGAGGCTGTCAATTCAATTCTAGCATGAGCACGTCTGAGTTTGTGGGCATTGTGTCTGAGATGTGCTTTTCATCAGTCTAGTTCGGTATCACATCTAGTCTTGGTCACCATTCAAAAAATAAACATACAAGAAAAGTGTGAGGGCCAGATCCACCAGTGTGCTCCAGCGGCTTTGCATTACTCCGGTGACACAAAACAGCCAGAATCATGGTTTAACTGACTGGCGACCTTTGTATTTCTGTCTCTTGCATTGCTGGAGTGGTACAAGCTAGCCAGAGTGTGTCAGCGAATCTGGCTTTTAATATGCCACAGACCGTCCTTAGTCCTTCCTCCAGCAACACTCCCATGGATGCCAAGAGGAGTTTCGGATGAGTCCGAGCCGTGTAAGGACGGCACTGCTAGGCCCAAAGGACTCATGCAGTTGTAAGATTCCAAGTGCTCTCTAGTCTTCTTAACTCCCTTCTTCATTATAGCCTCATTACCATGTCTAACGATGTCCCTTTGGCTGCTCAAACCAACCCACCCCAGAGCTGCTTTTCATAAGTGGGCCTAGTTGTGAATGGTGCTGATCACTTTTAACTCCCATTGACTTCAGTGGGAGATGCAAATGTTCAGGATTTGGCCCAACTATGAACACAGGTCAGTGTTGTAACAGAGTCCTAACTGCAGCTAATGACACTGCATCTTCCTGGCATCTTTGATTTGTTAATTAACCACCCAGCTAACACCGCTAGTTAATTCTCACATCAGAGTCAGCCAGCCAAACGCCAGGCTGTTTACTCTGAGTCTACTTACGGCAGAATGTGTTGGTCCTCCATTTAATGATGACTCCTTGCTTCTTGCAGGTGTCCACGTAGGCCTGCGTGATGGCACAGAGAGTGGACAGCATGCCATCATATTTACACATGTCGTAGATGCAGGTCTGGATGAAGAGGTCAGGCTCAACCAGATGGTGACATGGTTTGAAGGTGTCAGACTTTAAAACATTGCACTGGGTTTCAATGCCTGGCTTCTCCTCTGCGGTGCAAGGTGGGCCCAGCTCTTCTCGTGTGTCGGGCAAGCAGCTGCAAGAAAGCACAAACACGGCGTGTTTCAGTTGGGAGAGGAATGCGCAGGCTGACGCCCAGGCTGGAATGTTGGCTGCTGGTGAAAGGAGCCAAATGAATAGTCCTGGAGGCTGCAGGGTTCTCTCTAGTCACCACATGCCAGCAGCACTGCCGGCTTTCACCACCCCACCAGCCTGTCTCAGCCCTGACACAGAGGGACAACCTCCCTGAGTCGTTCAGATGCAATGCTCATGCAATCCTTGGCATTTCTGCTGGGACTGCCAGTTCGTGCTAACTGGGATGCCCATTAGGGAATAACTGATACCACTAATTCACTTCACTTACGCTATCAGACACATCAGTGACTTCCGATTGTTATTGAATTGGACTGGATTTGACCTGACAAAATGCTGGTGAGTGGTTCTGTAGCTCATTGGTAAATTTCATCACAGAGGGGAAAAAAGCTTTCACTCTATGCCTCTGTGACCTTCTTTCCTTCTGGGGCAGTGGCGTTTGCTGGAGCCCCAGCAGAACGCCAGCTTCTCAGAGAAGGTGCAGGAGATACACCAGGCAGCATGGCCAGTGCATTTTCCTCTACTTGGCATGTTTTAGAGCAGGGACGTGTTAAAATGTCTGCAAGGGAGCATGTGATCTGAATCAGCACAAGTGGGGGGATGAAAAAGAGCCACGTTTACCCCGCGTCACTGTCGGCTTGCACTTTCCAGCTGTTTCCAAACTGCGTGACGTTGTTAGCCTGCACGCCATTGGGCATGAGCAGCTCATCCCCACGCTGGCCGTTATAGTTACCGCACATGCCACATACCTACAGCAGAAGAGAATAATGTCATCACCCAGAGGGTCTCATCCCATCCCCGCTGCTGACCAAGGAAAGAAATGGACAAATATTGCGAGAAATCGGTCAGTAACTTGCACGGCGCTTCCCAGTTCACACCGTCACTGTAAAACCTTAATGCCCCAATGGGAAAATGAAATGATATTGCAACATATCTGTGGCTCCCTAGGACTTCCTGGCATTTGCCTTGGGAGGGGGCACGCACTCCCTCTAGTAGAGAGGAGGCTAACGAGCTCTTCTGGGCTGAGCCAGCACTAAGCAGTCACGGCTGGAAGGCTTGTGCGGCCTGGAGGGAGAAAGCTTACGAAGGGAAAGCCTGCCATAGACGGGCAGTGACCAGAGACTGCTGGCTACAGGGACAGATCAGCAAAGAGGACGACGCTCGCAGAGCTCGCTGCCCCTGAGACTGCATGGACCAGGTGTGAAGCCGGGGTGACCCAAAAGGAGGAGCTGGAGGCAAGCCCTAGCCCTGATTAAAGACACTAAGCCTGCAGAGAAGCCAGACTGCCTCAGAGACTGACCCTTTTTTCACTCTGATTCTCCCTCCGTTGCGGAAGGAGAGGGACAGCGGCCTTTGTGTTTGTTTGTTTGTTTGTTTGTTTGTTTGGAGAATCCCTTGTGTGCCACAAAGAGGGGAAGGACTCTGTAAGCCACTCAAAACGTGGGGGACTTGGGGTGGGAGGCCACCCATTACATACCTATATAACCCAAGGGGGAATCTCTGTAACTAACTGCCAGCTATGCACCCAGGTCTGTCATTTCCTGTAACTATCCCTTTGAAACACCCGTAGATGGTCGTAAAAAGGAAAAGAGAAGAAAACAGCTTGTGTGTGCAGGCAACATTACTGCAAGCAGTAATAATAAAGCAAGAGAAGAAAATAAATTCCAATCAAACCGTAAAGCGGAAGAGGAAAGTCCACGCTTTGAAGTGATGCCTTTTATTGTCTTAACATACTGAATCTCACCTTGGAGAAGTAAGATTCTGGGAGGCTGATTTCCAAGTGCTGATTTCCATCATATTTCACTAGGAGTCCAAAGTCAGTTTCCACCACCATGTAAATGCCCACATTTCCTATGGACACGCCTCGTAATCGGTTCTTTACCGGAGTTCGGACTCTCTCCTTATTGAGCTGGTGACAACAGACCATTTGTCAGCATAGAACATAGTCGCCTAGTAACGTTTTTTCTGCTCATAGTTTATTTTCTCCAGGGGATCTGGAGGATTCCCCAACAGAATTTTAGCCCCTTTACACTTCCAACCTTTGTGGTCTCATGGGTCGCAGTGACCACCCTTCTGGCCAAGGACTGGACAGAATTCCTGGGTCATGCCTTAGCCAGGCAGTTGGAAGGGTCACTGTGGGGGCACAGGTCCCTCCCCACCTGCAGGGCTGAGTATACCTCTCCATATAATCCCCAGTTCCTGGTTAGCTAATCCCAAGTAATGTAATCCAGTCTCACCTGGTGCGGCTCTCTATAACCGCAAGTGTCTAAGCCATATAGAGATGGTTGAGTCAGCTACAGCTTTTGACTGTGAACACTGGTTCTTTAGCTAGTTCAGGCAGTGGAAACTTTTATTAGATCCAGAGATTCTAGGATCAAGTCCTGTAGACAGTGACTCATGCAGGGACATTGGTACAGCAGCAGACTCAAAATAGGTGCCTCTTGCAGCTGGTGCTGCGAGAAATTACTTCCTGTCTCAACGTCACCCTACTGGGATACCTGTGGTGGGTGAGGCAGTACCTTTCATTGGACAATGCATGGCACAGACCGGGATACGCCTGGCTATCAAGGAAAGGCATGCCTGTCCCTTAGTAAAATGTGAAGATCCCTTTTCCTAAGGCGGTTTTTATATGCCGCTTTTAACATATCTGTTCTCAAAATACAACAGTCCCACTACGTACCAGGATCGCCTTGTTCTTCTGAAGGGTGATTCGGTTGCCATAGATGTCAATGTAAATCTCTTTGAGATACGTGGCCCCTCTTTGTCCTCGATCTTCGTTTTTGCCACTGATGGTCACAGGAACGACACTGCTGCTGTTGCAGACTTGGAGCAGGGTGTAGGTGCAGGTGCCCAAGAAGGTGTGCATCACTTTGTCAAAGGTGAAGTAGTGGGGATCTCCTGCCACCTGACAGGATGCTCTCCCTGAAGGTCAAAGAAATGTCCAGTGACTTTGGAGGATTTTATAGTGACCTCGGCTAATTAACGACTTCTGTGTTAGTGTCAGGTGTCATCACTATGAAAGGGCCTGAAGTGGGCTCCAAGGGCCTGATCTTGCCTCTCCTTACTAAGGCAAATTCCCACTGAAGACATTCCAGATTAAGGCCAACAACATTCCGGGGCAAATTTTTTGAATGAGACGCCTCAGCTGATCTGCACAAAAACGTACAAACTGGGAGCTGTGCCAGGAAAAGGAGCAACTGTTCCTGCTGCTGTGGGCTCTCTGCACAGTGCAGATGACCTGTGTGTACCCCTGACTGCAAGTACTTTACAAGAGCAATTCAGACTCTTGCTATTTTTTAATCTCTCCTTCCCTATTGGTATTTTCCTAAATCAACCCCTTGGAGTTCAGTTTTTTCATTTGTGGCATTGGGTGATTTGGGGCTTGATTCTGCATTCCCTACTCAGGCCAAACTC